CGATCTCCGCAGAGGGTTGCGCGCACACCGGACAAAGCGCACTCTCGCCTGCATTTCGCGCACTCGACACGCACGATCTCCGCAGAGGGTTGCACTTTCGGTTGACGCTGTTCGTCCCACCCTCCGCCTTTAAGAGAGAATTTATAAAGTGGGGAAATGTTTTTTCATTAGGACATCTCCCGTGCTAGTTCACTTGCCTACTCATTGCATGCTTGCTTACTCATTGCATGCTTGCATACACTTGCATACTTTGACAGCTTTCGCTCTTCCACTTACACAGGGCTACGTGTGTTTAAGTGTGGTGAAAGTGTCAATGTCTAAGTGTGTCTAAGTGTAAGTGTCCAAGTGTCAGTGTTCAAAGGATTTTCCGGAAGAACCCTTCGCAATGCTTTCGGGAAAAATGTATATCGATAATATTGATATGAAATATTGATCTTGCTTAGTCGACAAAAATATTGAAAAACACACCTTTTCAATACAATATTGATCTCCGTTTGCATTCAACATTTTTATTGAATTTTTTCAATCAAGGATTCTCACCCGGGACAGGCGTAGCAGTCATCATGAGCATCAGGAAGGGGTCAATGTCCGAAGTACTAGTACTATTACCATTACGATTACGACTACTAGGACTACTACTACTACTACCACTACTACTACTACGACTTCTACTTCTATTTCTATTACAACTAGTCCTGCTCCTGCTGTGGGGGGGTGGTTTTGCCACAAAACTCTACCCCGCAAAGGCGAAAGTTTGGTGAAAGTTTAGCTCAAGAGTGGTGAAAGTTCACCCTGCCACATCTGACCCCCTGCCCATTATGAGTAAGTTTGAGTGACCAGCTACCACAGAAACAAAAGAGACGTAGAGGGTGTCAAGAGTTAAGTAGAAGACACAAGTAGAAGACACAGAAGATACAAGGCTTTTTGTGGGTCCCCATGTGTTGGACCCAAGAGTGGTATATATAAGGATCATCTTTGAAATTTCCCTTACGACAAGATGCGCCTTGCATGTTGCAAGACCAAAACCGTGGTATTATCCTTATGTCCACCATGTAAGTTTCAACCAGGATATATAAGGATATCAATGCTCAAGAAGAAGGGTTGTTCATTGCTCGGTGACATCGTGTTCGAAGATCCTTTACACGAACTCGTGCCTAGGTGCTAGCCAGAATGTGTTGAATCGACATGTTATAACTCACCTGACAAAGAACAGACCTGACAGAGGCAACCCATAATACTTTGGTGTGGTTTTTCTTGAAGGGGATTCATTCAACCCTGCAACTGATACTGCACTCACTCCCATATTTGTGAGTGACTATAGTGGCCTCTCTACAGTGACTACTGGATCGAAAGGACCGCAGCCGCTGTCGGTTTCGCAGCCGTTCGAAGATTGAACGGCCCCGAACTCTGTCTTCGTCCGTGGCAAGCGCATCATCGCATCACGAGTGTATTGCTGTGGAATGATTTTCTTTTGTGTGTTGGCTTCACCGAAAGGGCATGGGGCCCAAAAAAAACATGAAGCATCCTAAGAGAAAGACTGTTTTTTGACGCTTTTTGGGGATTTGTTGTCTGAAATTATACGATTTGAGCATCAGCGCGTGTCCGCTAGCCTGCCCCAGCGAAGTGGGCGACGCCTCTTCAGTCAGACCGTGTGTTAAAGTGCAGCCCATCTGGCCGAACACCTGGCCCCGCCACAGCTTTTCCTCATCTAATTCTGATCCAAAACGAACCTCCCCTGATCGCACTTTCGATGTCAAGTGCCCCCCTCTGAATCCCTATAAAAAAGACTTTTCTTTCCTTTCTTGCGCCCATCCTGGCTCCGAACACCTGCCGCCGCCACAACGTTTCCCCATCTAATTCTGGTCCACAACGAGCCTCCCCTGATCGCACTTTCGATGTCAAACACGGAATATAAATAAGTAAAATAAAAGACTTGTCTTGCCTATCTTGCGCCCATCCTGGCTCCGAACACCTGGCCCCGCCACAGCTTTTCCCCATCCAAAACGAGCCTCCCCTGATCGCACTTTCGATGTCAAACGCC